TTTTAAAGATTTAAATAAAATTGTTTTTGTAGTTAAAAAAAGATTGTTCGTAATGATGATGTCATTCCTAGAAATTGGTGAATCATAGCTAGGAGTTGTGACTGTACTTCACAGACGAGCAAAGTGCAAATGAAAACCCTATAATGTGCGGCCTGCCGAGCCACATTGGCAAGAAAAATTAGTTTTTTTATGACTTGACACCGATTCTATGTAAACAGTAAAAAACTGTGAATAAAGTGGTGTGAAAACAGTTCTTCAAAGTTTGGGTATGCCTCTTGGTGTTAAATCAAAACTTCACTTTGGTCTTCCGACCGAATTTGATGCCCACCAAAGTACTTCTCTTGGTATTATTTATTATATATAAAACATCGCCGAATGCATCACATGTCTAAACAGATGAGTGATGTTAGAAAAATCAATTTGATTGGCCACTTTTTTTAGAAGCCAGATGATGTAATTTATTAGCTTTTACTGATAACATATTCATAAAAAAAGGCATTTACCTGGATTGAGATTTTTTAGTTTCTTGTCGTGATAAAGTTTCTTCTACCACTTGTGAATAATCTGAACTTTTAAAGCTGCTGCTACCTATTCCACCATAACCTGCTGTTGAGCGGCCCCCAGACTTCTGTGCTGCTTTGCGCTGCATTTGCAGCTCTTGTGCCTTTTTCTTCATTGCTTTGATTGCTTCATCTTCTTGGGTCTAAAATTAATTATTAATAAAGTTAATATCTCTTGATAATATGTATTTAAATATTATTTTAAAAAGTATGAAGACAACTCCCCTCTAGCAAATTCGCAACTTGCAATCTCGTCCCCTGCAAAACTTGGCCCATAACAAACTTGCCCGTTTAGAAACTCACCAGGTTACAAATTCTCTCCCCCCACCCAATTTTTCACACAGTTGCCCCTACAAACTCGCCCACTAACAAACTCTTTCCTTAACAAGCTCACCCACTAACAGATTAGCCTCCTCTCCCCCCACCCCCACCCACAACAAATTACTTTTTAGTACCATGTAGAAACATAGATAATGATAAACAAAACAGGTTTTATATATTGTTTCTGTTGCCATCGGTAAATTATTATATAATGAACATAAAATTTATTCACATAAGATGCAATAAACTGCCGACATTTTCTTTTTCAAGCTGCAGTAATTATAGTTTAATGAAAGAATATAAAAGACAACACAAATACATACAAATTACTCTAGTTCTGCAGAACTATAGGAAATTGTGATGTGGAAAAAACAGGTTCTTTACATTGCTTGTCGGTAAATTATATAATAATCATCATCATCTAGGGAGCGAGTTTGTAGGGGCGACTGTGTATGTAGTCAGGGGGCGTGTTTGGCGAGTTTGTCAATGGGCAAGTTTGTACGGGCAAGATTGCAAGGAGGAGTTTGCTAGGGGGCGAGTTGTCTGGAATCCTCACTGATACTGTGCTGAGATAAGAAATGCAGACTGCTACCTTACGTAGGAGGCCTATGTGCAGGCCTACAACCACACTTAAATACATGGCAGTCGAATTAACAATTAACAAAATATTAATTCAGTTGATGGTGTGGAAAGTGAATATGTGTTTACCCTCCTGACAGCATTGAAAACTTTCTCTTCATGGGAATCCATTTCAGTGAACGTACGAATCTGTGCTAAGTTGACACTTTCACGATATCCCAAGGCAACAATTTCATCAAATGCAGAAATTAGCTCAAAGGCATGATCCAGAATCTCACACTCTTCCATTGCTTTACAATATTCTGGAAT